ATTTTTGGTTTGCAAAATTCTTCAGTATACCGGGTGTTAGTTAATATTCTATGTTTATTTCATTTAATTAATGTATGATATACTGAGCTAAGATTGTCGGTATCCGATCTGAAATTCATAGCATTGTTATGTTTTTTAATCTGTATCATTTCATGGACTCTTCGCCTATTATAATTACTCTCGTTAATCAGTATTTTTGTGTTACCAAAATCAAAATTATGCAACTTCTGGTGTGCATGCTGTGCTAATGCTGTACCATTTTCGTTATTTTTTCTTAGGCTATACTTATGTTCGTATATTCTTTTCTTTAGATATTGTCCTGTTTGACCTATGTATGTGTTATCACAATTCAAACAGTCTATTTTGTAAATTACATTAGGTGTGTCTAACGTGTCAATCCTAGGTTTAAATTTTGTGAAACATTCATTTGCTAAAGTGACTTGCTTTAAATCTCATTTTCGCCTCACGAGCTAAGCAAATATGGACAATTGATCGCAATATTTTCAGTGGCGCCAATACTTATGAAGAAACTTTACGATGTTTATTATTCACTTTAACGGCCTCATTCCAGCACGCCTTGCTTGAAATGCGCCAAAACCTCATTTGAATAGCGGAAATTGACAAATCATCTCAAACCGTGTGGGAAAAAATGGACTACCTGGACTATGACACACGCAATCCTGCCTGTTGCTTCCAAACTTCCCCTTGTCCTTGCGCTTGATCTGATCCCACTCCTTGTACTGTTTCCCAATCTCCTGCACCACTTTCTTCACCGCACACTCCGATTGCTTCAGCATCTTCTTCACGTGATCATCGCCGCTGATCGACAGCATCTTAGTGGCTACTTCCTGCAGTCTTCTGTTTTCGGCCTTGGCGGCTTCCAGCTCTTTCCTCATCAGGTCCACTGCGTCTATTTCGCGTTTGTTTGCCGCCTTGCTGGCGGTTATCGAACCGACTTTGCACCCCATCTGGTTCTCCAGGCATTTGATGTGACAGTCCTTCTGGATAATCGTGTGCTCGGCGTTGTGGAGGAGCTTTTCCAGCTCGCGAATACGCGAGTTGATGGTTTGCGACTGGATCAGCTGCTCTTGGGAGGCGGCCAGCATCCGGTCTTTTCTATTGAGTTCTTCCTTGTAGGTGTTGATGCGGTTCTGGAATGGATACCTGACTTTTTGAACTTGTGCCCCATTCAACTCACATTGGTGTCGTTTTTGGTCCTGGATAAGTTATCCACTTGCAGCACCAGGCTCTTAATCTCGTCCTCCTGCTCGCAGATGCAGGCCTCCAGGTCCTCCACCTGCTTCTGCAAATGGTCCCTCTCTCGGCTCACAGTTCTGGCTTCATCGACTTGTGTCCTCAGCATGTCGCATTTGCACTCCATATCTAGCACTTCTTCGTACTTCTGCTTGTACATGTCGCGCTCCGCTTTCAGGTTGTCGAATATCTTCATTTTGTTGATCATATCTTCGTACTGGGCCTGAACAGTTCGTTATTGGTGGGCCTGCCAGCAGACCAATGCGTTTTTTACCTGGACGTCTGAGAGTTCGTTGAGTTTGATCTGCAGGCGATCGCGTTCCAGTCGCAACATTTCCGCTTCGGTCACCTTGGCCTTTTGGCTATCAATCTCTTTCTTCATGCTTTCAATTCGCTTCTTCATTGCATCTCTTTCACAGCGCATGTTCTGCAGTTCCACCCCCAGGTTCTCTGCTTTGGACCTGGTCTTCTTCAGCTCAAAACCTGCAGCAATTCTAGTTAGATCAATCAACCAGTTAGATGCCTATTTATTACCTGAACTGCGGTCCCCTTTGGACATATTTTTGAGCTCCCGCTCCAGCTGGTCTACCCTGTCAGCTTTGGCGCGCAGCTTCTGCATGTCCTCCTCCATGCTCTTCATCATCTTCACTTTCTGGCTCAAGCCATCGCGCTCTTCCATCACACTGTCCAACATATCCGACTTGTTCCTCAACAGCTCCACGTCCTCCGGGAGGTCCTGGTATTGCTGCAGTTGCTTCTCCAGGACATGCACCCGATTGGCCAAGGAGTCGCGCTCTTTGGTCAGCTCCTCCCAGTTCTTCAGCTTGTCCTTCAGAGTCTCCACCTTGTCCTTGTCCATGCCCGGTTCGCTGTCTTTTATCGCCACTCGGCTTCCCAGTTCCACTTTGAGTTTCTCGTTCTCACTTTCCACCTCCCTCAGTTTGCTGCAGTATTTCTTCAATATTTTCACCTCCTTTTTGATGATTTCCGCCTCTTCTTCAGGCGACGGGTTGCCGCTGCGCATGATATTTATTTCCGCCTCCAGTGCCTCAATTTCCTGCTGGCAGGAGGCGGGCAGAGTTGGATTTGCCACGGTTTGCAGTTTCTAAATTGAGGGAAATTTTTGGATTAGGGAGCAGAATCCAGCAGGTTACTGCTGCATGTTCACAAGTAGGAAAAAGTGAAAGCGAAGCCAGACATCCGCAGGTGTGAACATGCAGCAGTAACGCGTGGCTAATTCTCCCCCAGGAAGAAAATTCGAAAAATATCAGACGAAAACTGGGTTTAATCTACTGGCAGTCACAGAACGAGGTACAGTTGCATAAGGAAAATTTGCTTTTGTTCAGACTGAGACTACGCCGCTGAGACACGATGGACAAAAAGCTCTAGAAAAGGACAATGTTTCGGGTTTAGTTTTTTAGTCTCTGCTGTTCCGACACTGGCTTCTGATGCCCCAAGCACACTTACCTTGAAGTTATCCAGCTCCTTCAAGCACGCGTCCAGTTTCGTCTTCAGATCGTCCCTCTCCTTTGTTAAGGACTCGATTTTATCTCTTTGCTCCTTGCACAGGGCTTCAGTTGCCTGAAAACATACAGGAGGCTTCAAAAGGGTTCAAAGTAATCAAATCCCTACTCGAACAAAACGAAGAAGATGCCTAACTAAATAAGGGAGAACATCGGGACTTACTGCTAATTTATCAGGAGTAATTTCTCCGCCACTGTTTGGTGGACCAAGCGATTTCAACATGCTTTTATGGGAAGGTTCCCTGGGTGCTTTCGGCACAGCCTCTGAAGATGACTTGACAGGTTCGAGACGTCTGGAAGGTTTGATAGTGATGCGCGTAGGTTGCGAAGGATCGTCGATCACTTGAAAGCCTGGCTGCAGTCCTTTGATTCTTGTGACCTTAAATCGAGGTTGTGCGGTTGTGACTAAGACCAATTGATTGGCAAAAACTGACCATTTTTCCGGGCCCGGACATTCTGGTTTCGATAGTGGGCCGACTGCGCAAAGTGCCCTTCACCAGCTGCTCAATTTCCTCCTTTTCCCTAGAGTGTCTTGCGGTTGCGACACATTTTGGGTCGCATTCGTCGCTCTCCACCTGGAGATTTAATTTCTTGGAGTATTGAAGAGACATCTCTTTGCACACGCTGTCCATGCTTTGCATCTGAAAATGTCCAGAGGTGTCTTTAAATGCCCGAGGACACAGGTTTGACTGCTACCATGAACTTCAGTTTCTTCTCATCTTCTTCTCCCAGTTGCAAGGCGAAGATGAAGTCCCACAGCTGCTTCAGGCAGGTTTTCAGCTTGGAGGGATCGCCGGTTCCCATGGATAGAAGCATGCTCACCAAAACATCCAACGGCACCAACGTTCCACTGCACTGAAACAACCAGGTGGAACTCCATATCCTACTTTTTCTAGGGAATTGCAGTTACTTTGTTCAGTTCTTTAACCACCAGCTCCAAAATGTGCTGCCGCCGATCTTCCACAACGTCGCACCAGTTTCTAATGTCGGTAGAGGAAGAATAAGTCTTCAGGCGCGATTCAGATCTTCGGCGCTCTGGTCGCAGCCATTGCGAACGATCCATGAACATTCTGGTTCTTTTCTGCACGTACGACGTCATTTTTAGGTGGCGCAAACAAAAATTACTTGAAAATTAACGATCAAGGGTAAAGTTAACGATTCATTGAGGTTGAGGAACAATTTTGACAAACTGTCACATTGTGAGAGGATTCAAAGAAGCTTCAGATGACCAGGTGTTCTAAAACCGCCCATTGCTGGTTCTTCGAACGCTGTCAGCTACTTCAATTATTTGCTGATAAAATGACCAACAACCACCAAAAAACTCCCTTTATTTCAATTGCTTCCAAGAATTAATCGAAAAGTTTCCAAAAAGACCACCAGCTGCTTTCAACTGCCTACATTGAGGCTAATCATCCATTGATTAGTTGTCACCTCACCTTTTACTATGTCATTTTTCGCAATCTAAACCGTGAATTCTCTATATACATGTTTCTACTTGAGGTCACTGATTAACCATCATCAGTCATGTCCTATGTGAACAAGAAGGAGCGCATCTTCCGCAGGGGGGAGCCCTTCGACATTCCTCATGCGCGCTCTGAAGCACGAATGAAGAATTACTGGTCAGCTACGGACCGAAGGGCTTGGTGCGATGAAGTTGAGCTGCGCAGGCAGCATATCTTGGAGCTGAATGCCCGCACCAAAGGAGTAAGCGCTTTCTAAGCAGTGGCTGTCCATAGCTAACGTTCGCTCAATTTTTCAGCAATTCTGCTTGGAAAACCTGATTCCTCTGGATCTGCTCTTCAATGCGATGGCCGCCAACAAGGACGGGGAGATCGAGAAGCTGAAGAAGAAGATCGACTACTTGGAATCATTGCTCGACATCTACAGGCAGATCGAGCTCACCCCCGAACAGCAGCGGCAGGTGAACGATCTGGTAAAGAAATACGGTATTGCACATCCAAATGATTATTTTGATTGATGTCTTCGAATTAAAAATTGCTGTCCTTTATCTGTTTAAATGACTAACTTTGTAATGCGCCCTGGTATGTCGGGCATGTGGGAGAGAGACCGGCGGGTTTCCATGGCTACGCCCTATTGCTCTCACTCCTCCGCACTGCGGTCAAATCCAGCAAACAACCTTGGTTTGACCGGGCGTGGGCAAAAAACGCTACGGGGTGCGGCATATAAATTGCAAAAGTGAAAAAGTGCTTAAATTTAATGTACACATTGGGTATTTTTAATTTTTTAGAACAGGAGACTCGCAAAAGAAAGACACAAGCTCGCTAAAGCGCAAAAGACTGAAGCAGACAAAACTGGCGAGAAAAAATATCCGGTAAGTGTTCTTTCGATTCAATCCAAGTACAAGTTTGCAATTCGCTTTGGCAGGGCGAAGCCAGGCCTGAGGAGGCAGCACGAAGATCCAGCTCCGCAGAAATCGTTCGTCCAAAACAGGAGCGGCAGAAGCGATCGATCAGCGAGCCTGCAGTGAGTCGGAAAAGAGATGAAAAGAAGGCAATACCACGCGATAAAAAAAGAGCAAGAGAACCAGCCGATTCTGAAGCGGAGGCATTGGAGGCGAAGCCTACGAAGAAACAGAAAACTGAAGTGCAGCCCGCTGAGGCACTTGCACAAGGCCGGGGTAATTAACCATCAAATATCAATAACACTCACCAATTGCGCTTTTTTTCGCCTTTTTCACAGCCAAACGACGGAAATCCTCCAAAGCTTTAGCGAAAAAAGACAGCGATCAAGCGGTGCCAACGAAACGCCCTAAATCTACAGCGCCTAAACCTGCTGATAAAGAGGAAGGAACATTGAAGACGAGGCAAGTTGAAGATTTACAAGCGCCTGAAAAGTCTGGCCGTAGAAAGACCGCTTCTGAACCAGGTAAATGGACGATAACTACAAAGTGTCTGCTAAAACTGAAAACTCCTAGAAAAACCTCCATCTACCAAGCCGTCCCTAAAGAAAGAGGCAAGTCCAAAAGGTCAGTCTAATGTTCCTAGCGACACACCCAAGACCTCAGGCAGAGAGAGAAGCAGCTCTAAAACCAGTAGGGAACCAGGCGAGAAACCCGCAAAGAAGAAAGAATTAGTTGGAGGTTTCATCTAGACAATAAGCATCGGTCTACTGGGCTAAGCACATTTCTTCCAGGTGAAGAACCACGAGACACAAAAGTTGCAAGAGCACAAGAGGATAAACCTAGAGCTAAGGGGAAGGCAGACCCCGTGCTAAAAGAGCCAGGGGATGGTGCTGGGAGGCCAAAGAGCCCCACTAGAGTACCAAAACAAGAGCCAAAAGAAGCGCAAAGAGCTGCAAGCGAAACTAGAACCAAACCTGCTTCAAAAGCGTCTGAGATTCCACCCACAGGTTTGAGCGAAAGTTTCCTTTAAACAACTTCCCTACGTTATAAACTTAGTTAAAGAGAGCGGGGCAAGAGATGCATCGGGTGCAGATGCAGCTGCCTCTAGAAGAGCAAAAGAAGCAATGAAGGATGGTAAAGCAAATGGTTAACGTGAGTTGGATATTTAACAACATGTGGAGTTTATAGAGGAAGCAGCTGAGCGCAAGCAGGCAGAAGCTAGAGGACGCGGAAGAGGCAGAGGAAGGCCCTCATCCCCAGAGGAACTGGGAAGAAAAGCTGGAGAACCTGTGAGCCCTAAGCGAGGTATTGGATTATTTTCAATTGCTTCCTTTGTAGAGCTTGAAGTTCAATTTTAGAACCAGACGAAGCCCATCCGGCTGGCATTGATCGAGCAAAGAAGAAACCAGCCGGTGATGGGGCAGCCAAAGGTCAAGGTAGGGAAATATAAACCGTTTTTAAAATGAGCTTCTTTAGAAGTTTGCTTCAGCCCATGAACCGGTCAAGTATGATAAAAAGCTTACTGAGGAAGATAAAGGTCCAAAAAGGGCCGAGCCAGGAGGGAAATCAAAAAGTGACGATAAATATACGAAGCAAGAAGGAACGGAGGAACCAGCCAAAAGGCCTGGTAGAAAAACTCAAGACTCACCCGACGTGCAAGCCAATTTTCTTATTTTTACCCCTAGGGCAGGAGTTTGGAGGTTCCAAGGAAGAGGGCAAACCTGCCAAGGGAGGACCTATGGAAAATGCAATGCTGCGCCCAAGCAAACCCTCAAAAAAAGACGAAACTCCTGAAGATGCTGCCCAGACAACTATGGAAAAACCGAAGGACGTCTCAGCAGCTAGAACCAAAGGCCGAGGCAAAGCGCATGAGGGTATTTTAGATGATGGGCAAAGGACCAAACCAGGTGCTTAAAACGAGTGTGCAGCTTAAATCGGCTCTATTTTGGGTAAAACGCATATAGACTAGGCAATGGCTTTTTAGGTCCTGGCAAGGCCGCTGAGGCTATGGAAGAAGGAGCAGGCAGATATAAACGTGCAGATACTTCAAAAGAGCCGGGAAAACGTCCTGTCAAGCAGGATGTTGGAGAAACAGATGGAAGACTCGAGAAAAAGGGGGCGGATCTTCCAAGGAGAGAAGCTCCAGGTTTAGGACAAACAGGAGCTGAAGAAACGGATAAGCTTGAGCAGAAGGGAGCGGATGTTGCAAAGACGAAAGGTCCAGGTGTAGGAAAAACAGGTGTGGAAGGAAAGGATGAAAGGATGAAGCAAAAGGACGCGGCTGCTGCAAAAGAAAGAACTCCAGGTTTAGGAAAAACTGGTGTTGAAGACAGAGATGGAGGGCTCGAGCAAAGGAGAGCGGATGTTGCAAAGAAGGAAGTTCCAGGCTTAGGGAAAACCGCCATTAGAGAAAAAGATGGAGAGCCTGAGCAAAAGGGTAGCGATGTTGCAGGAAGAGCTGAAGAAGAAGATGGCAGAGGAAAGGATGGCAAGAGAAAAGGTCCTGGTTTAGGGAAAACAGATGATGCAGAAAAAGATGGAAGGCTCGCGCAAAAGGAGGCGGCTGTTTCAAAAGCAAAAGCTCCAGGTTTAGAAAAAACTGGTGTAGAAGATAAAAAAAACGCAGGCGCTAAAGAAAAATATGGAGGGCCTGATCAAAAGGGCGCTGATGTGACAAAAAGAGAAGCTCCAGAACCCCGACCAAAAGGTGCTGACGATGACAGCGATAAAGCTAGAACGAGAAGCCCAGCAAGAAAGAGGTTTGAAGAAACTGCTGGATCTGCACCTCAGAAAGCTGTTGAGGAAGGGAGCGGTGCTCCTAAACCTGAAAAATCCGATGCAACTGAAAAATTGGCATCTCCAAAGCCCAAAGCACCGGGTGTTGGAGTAAAGGGTGCACCTGCTAAGCCTGGAGAATCTGACGATGGTAGAAAGCTTGCAGATAAAGACGGAAAAAAAGAAACTGCACCTGAAAAAGTGGAAGCGGCAGACAAACGAAAAGGTAAATACAGAATAGTCTACAAAAATCGTGTTACATTGATATTGCAGCAGTTCAACCGGAGCCCAGTAAAGCGAAAAAAGACGAAGCAGGCAAACTTCCGGAGGCTTCAATGGAAGGCGCTAAAAAGGCAAAGAAAGAAGAAGCGAAAACCGAGCGCGAACTGAAAGAAGACAGTCCAAGAAGCGCTGCACCAAAACAAGTTGCTGAAGAAGAAAGGAAGAAACAGATTGACGATCAGTACAAACCAAAAGGTGGGTAAAAAATCAGGCGTTGTTTCGCTCTTCTAATAAAAACCTGCGTTCTCATAAGGAAAAGATTTGGAAACATCTGGATTGCCAAAACCCCAACAGGAACCTACCGGAGCAAAAAAAACTGATACCGAAAAGTCTTCCGAAGCCACTGGTTAGATTAATATGTGGAACTAGTTGTTAAACTTATGAAGATTTTATCCATAGCAAAGGAAATCGAGCATGACCCTGAAAGGCGAACCAAAGGCAGGGGAAAGGCGGACCAGGAGAAATTGGGCGAAGCTGGAAAACCTGGAGGAATAGCAACAAAAGGTAAACCTGCACCGAAGGAAGAAGATAAAGGTAATATTTTTTATTGCCGCGTTTGTCCGGCCAAGTAATTCTTCGACTTGCCAGGTGGAAGGCAGATGCTTAAGCAAGAAGAAGAACCGAAGTTGAAAATGCCAGAGGTTTCAACCAAAAAAACCGATCAAAAACCATCAAGAAAGCTAGTCGATGATGGTAGAAATCAATTAATTTAACTTCTGCCTTCTACATTTCTTTCCCCATCAGGAACAGCGGACGCTGGCAAAGCAACAGTTGCCCAACAAGATCTTGATGAAGCTGAAAAAGCAACAGTTGCAGCCACTAAAAAGAGACCTGAAAAAGTCCCGTTAGAAGCTGGGCCACCAATTGAAAGATTAACAGAAGAAAAGAAACCGAAAGAAGCACCAGTCAAAAAAGGCGCAGATGGAATTAAATCGAGTAAAGCCGACAAATTGCCCACAACTATGGATGAAGACGAAAAGCCGAAAATAGTAAAAAGAGAGGCGGACAGAAAGGACGCTAAAATAAAGCCCGAAGAAGAGAAAGGCAAAATATTTAAACCTGAGGAAATCACCAGGCCTGCCAAAGAAGGCAAAGAGCCCCCAAAATATGAAGCCGAACAAAAACAGCTTCAAAAAGAAGAAAAGCCGCCCATGGCCACCGATCGCAAACCTCCTTTAGCTATAGAAAAAACCTCAAGAACACCAGGTAAAAAAATTATTTTCGTACAGACAGTAATTAACTCAAAATGACCCAGGCGCGCCTGTGAAACCTGCAAAAGACGCTAAAACTACCGCAGGCAAAGCTCCTGAAGCAGCAGCAGCTGAAGGAGTATCATCAAATATTATCGAAGGTGATGAAATTATCGATTTGCCTTTCCAAGAGCTGCAAGAACAGGCTCGAGTGGCTCCTGCCCCCAAACAGGCAGGAAAACCAATGGAGGACGGAGCTAAAAAAGGTGAAAAAGCGGAAAAACAAAAGCAAAAAGGTTAGGTCTAAAGTTGAAGCTTTAAAGCCCCTTAATAAGGGAAAGGTCCTTTAGTAGGAGAAGAAGAAGTTGAAAAGAGGAAAATTGACCATGAAAAGCAGCTGCAGGCACAAGAAGAACCTGCAGCAATTGAAGATGTTGAGCTTCAAGTGGCTGCCGCCCCCAAACAGGCAGGAAAGCCGAAGGAGGGCGGAGTTAAAAAAGAAGGAAAAACGGAAATGCAGAGGCAAAAAGGTAGGGGTTAATATTGAAGGCTTAAAGCAGTTTGAAATGGGAAAGGTCCTTTAGAAGGGGAAGAAGAAGTTGGAAAGAGGAAAATTGAGTCTGAAAAGCCGCTACAAACGCAAGAAGAACCCTCAGCAATTGAAGATGTTGAGCTTCAAGCGGCTCCCGCCCCCAAACAAGCCGAAAAGCCGAAGGAGGGCGGAGAAACAGAAGAAAAAAAGGAAATACCAAAGCAAAAAGGTTAGGATTTAATACTGAAGGTTTAAAGCAGTTTGATATGGGAAAGGTTCTTCAGTCGGAGAAGAAGTTCAAAAAAGGAAAATTGAGCCTGAAACGCCGCTACAGACACAAGATGAACCCTCAGCCATTCAAGATGTTGAGCTGGATGAAACAGCTCAAAAACAGCCAGCTGGAGCCTCACCACGTCAGCAGCCTATCAAAAAGGAAAAGAAAGAAGAGCCTAAAAGAGCTTTTGAAATAGCATCACCTGCTGAAGCGTTAAGCCAAGAACCTGCTGCAACTCGGACAGTCGAAGAAGCACCAAAAGAAGCAGAAACAGACCGAATACCCAAGGAAGTCGCTGTTAAGACAGCAGGCGAGCAACTTGGCGAACATCTCGTATCGCAGCCCCCTAGTGGCCCTGCGCAATTGCCTTCAACAGCTGAAGTAGCCGAAGGAGCTGCAATGCCTGCAGACAAACTTCCCGAGCAAGCTGCTGCACCTCCTGGTAAAAATGATGGCAAATAGCGTCCGCAAGTCATCTGTTTTTCTTTTCTAGAAGGCGTTGCCAAAAGAAGAAGTATTGAAGCAGACCAAGAGCCAGCGGAAAAACCACCAGATTCTATGGAAGAACGGCCGATGAGGCCAGAGGAAAGAAGGGAAGAGGGTTTTGCGGCTGAAGAGGAACGGCTGGATAAGCCGAAAATTCTCAAAGGAGATGAAGCAGCGAAAGAACAACCTCCGGAGCCAGTAGGAGGCTTGGTGCAGCCCAGTCATGAAGAAGCTGCAGAAAGGGAACCGTCTCTTGGAGAATCTGCTGCCATCACTCCGTCGCAACAACAGTTCCTTGAACAAAAGGAAGCAGCCAAAGTGGGTGAATATCCAGATCGGGCCCCCTTGAGCCAGGAAGAAGAAGAAGCAAGAGCTGATGAAGCCAAGGTGCCCCCACTCTTAGAATCTCCGGAACCAGCCTTCGAAGCTGAAGATCTATTGGAGAAGCCTTCAGCAATCAGTCGTGAAGAAGCGCTCGGGGAACTAGTTGCAGCAGTAATCACTGTCTTCTTGCAAGCTTACTGAAACGCTAAATTATACTGAACATTTCAGGGTAAGCCCGATTTGGGCGAGGCACCCAAAGAAGCTCCATCAGACGAGCCGTGGTCCGATACAGAAAAAGACAAGGATCAGGAGAAACCTGTTAAAGTAAGTAAGGTGAGGAAGTGGTAATGAGTTGCTAGTAGGAGGCGTTTCAGCTGAAAGCTGAGCCGCTCGAAGGAGAGATTGAAGAGTATGAAATGGCGGTAGAAGAAATTGAACGACCCGAAGCTGAAGGCGAGCCAAAAGGCCAGGAACTAGTTGAAGCTGCAGTTGATGTTGGAGGAAAAGAGCCTTCCTGTCAAGCAATCTGCAATCACCCCGGTGGTCCAGATTGGAGAAAATCCACAGACGAAGTTAAACCAAGTGTGGCACCCTTTCCAAGTGTGCTTCAATCGCAGGCAACATCGGCTTTGGACGCTAAAGAACCGGCTCATGGGCCAGAGCCATGTAGAGCAACTTGCAACGTGGCAAGAGTAGGAGAAGTCCCAGATAAAGCTGACCTGGGAACTGCTGTCCCAACGAAAAAGCCTGGATACCCAGCAGCCAAAGAAGAAACCCCTAGAAGCCCCAAAGACGAGTTCCTAACCCCCAGATCAATTGTTTCAGCAGCTCACCTGCACGCCCTACAGGGTGTTTCAGCTGGATCCCGGGATGAAACAACCGAAACCAGGAAGGCAGGCCATAAGTGTATGGCGCCCTGTAGAAACGCCCGGGACAGGCCCAGCTGGTTTGGTGAAGAAACCGCTGGAGTGATTACAGGCAGGGACAGCGATACGCCTCATGACTTGGTGCCCCCGGGGTATTTTCTACCGAACGATTACTCCCCAAGGAGAATGCCTGATTGGGCGGGACGTCCGGAGGTGGCATCAACCAAGCCCGACTCACTTTCCCTGCTGGATGCCGAAGTTTCCAGCTTATCGGACACGGCCATCAAGGAAGAGATCCAGACGCTGCACAAATGGGTGCCCAAACTCGTCCTGGATTGGGAGAGCGTATCCGAGGAGTTGATTCCAGCGCCTCCAACAGTGCCCGGAGTTCTATCCGGGCACATATTGGGAGTTCCAGTGGGTGCGCCTCTGCTAGCCGAGCGTTCAACCCCGCAGACCCTCCCAGAAGCCATCTACCAGCGAAGATTCGCCTCCCAAACATGTAGGGCGCCATGCGCCGATAGGGACCCTATGGGGGAAGAGCCACTGGCTACTATCGAGGATGTGAGCGACATTAACACAGACTCGGAGATTGGAGATGAAATTTTCGAGACTGCCCAGGCAGCTGAGCCTTTGCCAGAGGAACTAGCCAGGGAAACATCTGATTTGGACGAAGTTTTCAGCGTCCTCTCACAGCAAACAGTGTCAGGAGACTTTACTCAACAAAATGAGGTTGCTGAGGCAGTTCTGGAAGTAGAAGGCGTGGATGATGAGGGCGTGAAAGAGGACACGCCGAAAACATTTGTTACCATATCGGAACCAGAGGTTGTAGAAATCTTCAGCCGAACTGCTTCTGAGGATTTATCTGGCGAGGAATCATTTGAAGAGCCAAACGCCCCAGAAGCAGCGGCGATGCCGCTGGAGGACACGAAAGTTTCCGAGGAATCGCCCAGTGGGTCCACACGTTCATTCGTCAGCAGTGGTTTCGCCGCATCCCAGTCGCAACTCCCAGAGATCAAAGCTTTGCCCCAGCAAGAAGCAGCTGATATCGAAGAATTTGCTGATGCTGAGCCAATAGCTGCACTGGCTGCTGTGGATGCGCAATTAGAAGCTGCGGAAAAACCTGCAGATAAATACGTGCAAGCGATTGAGCAAGCAGCTGTGGTGCCACGCCAGGCTCCTGCAAGGTTCGTCAGCTGGTTTGCACCTCCGCCACCCAGAGTTGATCCGGTGCGGGTGCCTCGAGGAACTCAGGCGGCTCAAAGCCTGAGCAGCACCGCAACATCTTCAATTGCTCGACCAAAGTTGCACCAGGCGACTGCAACTGAGGCCGGTCGCCTTTGCCTGGCTGCTTGCCAGACAGCTTCTGAGCCAGACGCTGAGTTTGTGGATGCTGTAGAGCCTGAGGGTTTTACAACCAGTTCCACCGCCCAAGCAAAAGAGGCCGCTGTCCAGAAGCTTCAGAACGCTGGCACGCAAGCTGCAGCTGTAGCAACTGGAGCAGCATGTCCACATGTTTGCCCAACTTCAACAGAGCCTCACTATCGGGCTGATCAGCGCACCATTGGAACTGCCATTGGGGGAGTTGCGAAGCTTGAGGAGTGCTTGAAGCGTCTTTCGTTAGCTCCTGAGTTGCCTTGCCGGGGCAAATGCGCCGCCACTGGACTGAGCGAGAACGACCGGAAGTTGAGGGCATTACAGGAAGAGATGTTGGTGAGTATTTGTACAGGGCGTTTTATAAAGCAACGGAAAAGAGGATGTCTAGAAGGCCGGTGGGGAGCAGAAAGGTGAAGTGACACTGTTACTGAGGTAAAAGTGTCAGTTTTTGTAACGTTTTTTTTTTTGAAATGACAACAGTTTTCAAAAAGGGTTTTGTAAGTTCTAAGCGTGTTTTGCGCCAATCCAAGAGCAGACTGACTTTGCGGTTTCAGGCCAAAGATGCGTACTGCGCAGAACAGCGAAAGATCGCCACCGCCGCCTTGGCGCAGCTGGACAACATTAAGTGCATAGTGGAGGAACGGGACGATCTGCGCAAGAAACTGGAGAACTCGCAATGCGAATTGGCGCAACTGAAGGTATAAATATGCAAGTTCTTCACTAAAGCCTTGATGGGGTGATGTTTAGAATACCCTTGAGTTTGGGTTTGGTGATGCTGAGCAGCCGCAAAAGCCGATGGCGGACATTCCGCCTCAGCCCAGCCAGAGTTCAATAGCAAATTCGTGCGATGAAGAAATCCGCATTATGGAAGACGAAATTCGCGCAATGCGGGCCTCATGTTTAACGCCAGGCCAGGAAACTCTGGTCATCAAAAAGGAGGTAGAGGTGCTGAAGAAATATTGCTCCAAACTGTCCTCCATCCAAGAGGAAAACGCCCGATTGAAGAAGTGCAATGAAGAGCTGCAGGTCAGGTGCATAGAGTCGGAACAGAAGCTCGAGATTCTAGGTGAGCGAAGGTAAGGCAGCAAAGCATGCAGCTAGACGCGATTGTATGCCTTCTAGGCTGCGATGGAGATCAGGCTTCTCTAGCTGAGATCAAAGAGAAACTCCTCACGCTCAACGAAACGATCGCCGAGCGCAACGTTCTCCAAAACAGAGTCGAGACTTTGGAGCGCGAACTCAACCGCTTCCAGGATCTGCCTGAAGATGTGGAGCTGTTCAAGCGGCGCTCGGTTCTATTGGACGATGTCCTCAAAGACCGCGACCGGCTGGCAAAGCGAGTGGAGCAAACCAGAGGGCTGGACGAAGAGTTGTTGCTCTTGAAGCAGAGATCTGAGAGGGTTGTCGCAATCAGTAAATTTCATGTAGATTCGGAGTTTTTCAACCGCTTTGCAGGTAGACGAACTGGAGCGACAGCTAAAACTTGCCAACAAAGACGTTCAGTTGGCTGAAGACGAACTGGACAGCATGAGGAGCAAGTGCACAATGGCGGAAATTGAGGCACTGAATCAAAAGACCGAAAGCGACACTTTGAGGTCAAGGATTGTCTGCATGGAGCACGAAATGGAGAGCCTGAAGTCGCTGTGCCAAGAGCAGGAGGTGTTGCAGATCGAAAAAGAGCGGTAAGTCTCATACATTACCCACATAGCAAAATGATATTCCCAGAATATACCTGGAACATTCCATGYGATGTACATGCATGAGTTACATTATGAACATTCCATGCATGTCCCAGGAATCTGTCAGAGTTAATACACTGTATGTTCATGGTATGTTCTGGGAATGTACATGGTATGTTCAGTTACATACCTAGGATATACTTTTTATATTCGACGAACATTCATGTTAGGAATGTTCACCTATGTATATTCCCAGGATATTCCCGCAATGTTCTGTATATTTTTCGAACATTCTGGGATATTCATAGAATATCAAATGCTATCTGGGTAAGGCAGTATGACTTAAACAGCACCATGACAAAACTTCAGATTGCAAGTAAGCCTGGATGAGCTGGTGCGCATGCAGGACGACTACGAGCACATGTGCATCCAGATGAAATCCCTGGACATTGTCAAGGCGGAGCGAGAGCGGTACAAGCGAAAATACGAAGAGCTGGTGGGCATGGAAAGCGAATGCAACCTACTAAGGACCCAACTGGACAAGGCCAGACTCATAGAACGCGACAGGGACATTCTGGAGCAACAAACGGAAGACCTGGAGCGCTGCATCTGCGAGCAGGAGGAAGAAATTCGTCGGCTGGTGTCCCACATCGACTGCCTGGCTCAAGGCAAGGAAGACCAGCAAGTGAAGATGAAAGAAGTGGTGTCCAATTTGAAGATTGAGCTGGAGAGAAAGGAGAGCTTGCTGGTGTTGTCCGAAGAGAAAATGGCCACGATGCACGGGAAAATCGACACCTCCTTTCATAATCTATCTGAAGAAACCGAGACGCTGAGGCGGAACAAACAATGCCTGGTTGAAACTGTCCAGACACTGAAAACGGAGAACGCAGCGCTGGAAAAAAGCATGAAAACTGCCGCAAACGAGTTGAGGATTCTGAAGCAAAAACTCGCAGAGCAGGTGGACGAGAACACCCATCTTCAAGAGCAACTGGAGAATCAACAGCGAGCCATTGACACCATGCAAGAAGTACTCGCGGACCGCGAATCCTCCCAGCTGAGCCTTGAGTCATTTTCCAGCAATGCTCAGGAGATCTCCCGGCTTCAATGCGAGCTGAATGCAGCCAAAGAGGAAAACCTGCGGCTGCAGCAACTGTCCACCCAGCCAGGCACCAGCTTGGACAACAACTACCAGCTGAAGACGATGCTGGAGCAGTCAAAGTGCGCGATAGAGCGAATCGCTATGGAACTCGAACAGCAATACGCTGAGTGGGACGGCAAAAAGCCCTACAGATGCTGTCCCGGATGCACCTGCAAGCAAAAGAACAAACCAGTGGAACCGAAAGTAGTCATCAAATGCTGTCCCGGGTGCACTTGCAAGAAGAAGCCCAAGCAAACTGTCCAAATAGAAGCCAAAGTAGTCGAGTGCAAGTGCAGGACAACTGAGCAAAGCTCCCCCTCTCCACGAAACACCGAGGATGCCAAATGCACTTGCTCAAAAGCTACAGAAGTTGACTGGAGGAGTCTGCCGCTTCCTTCCGACTCAGAAGATGAAGCTCCCGAAGAAGCGATGTACACGGCCAGGTCAGCTGATGAAAACCGAATCAGGGAACTGGAAAATGAGCTTCTAAAAGCCAATGATACGATCTTGAATCTAAAGGAGCAACTGGCAGGCTTTGAGAGGCTCTCGGCCGAAAACTCCGCGCTAAGACGCCACTCCACAGAAGTCCAAGAGGTTGCCAAGGATCAAATCGAGGATCTAGTGGAGCGGCTGCAGAAAGCGCAGCAACGAATCGCTGAACTCGAGGCGGAAAATGCCAGCTTAAAAGATCGCACTGTTACGGAGGAATTTGGACATGTGGTCGGGCTTCCAGAGGCCGAGGCCAAAGCCCTTCCCCTTCCAGCACCAACAGCCCAAACAGCCCCAATTGAGCTGCAGAGGAAACTGGACGAGTGCCTGCAGGAGAAGGAGCGCCTGCTCGAACTAGTTAAAAGCCTCAAGGAGCAACTGGAAAGCCCAGATCAGCCAGATCTCGCTCTTTTTGCCCAACTAAAAGCTGACCTTGCCAGCTGCATGAAAGACAAGGAACGGCTTCTAGGGCAAGTGGAGCAATTGCAAAGTTCCAACGATTTATCGCAACTTCAAGCCCAACTGGACGCCTGCCTCAATGAAAAGGAAAAACTCCGAAGCTTGGTCAATGATCTTCAGAGGCAGCTGGTTGCTGGAACTCCTGGGCAGCTGCCTACTTTTAGGCAGCTGGCTACTGGAACCCCTGGGCAGCTGGCTGCTGAAACTCCTCGACAGCTGGCTCCTGGAAGCCCTGGGCAGCTGCCTGCTGCAACTCCTGGGCAGCTGGCTACTGCAACCCCTGGGCAGCTGCCTACTCCTGGGCAGCTGGCTACTGGAACCCCTGGGCAGCTGCCTACTCCTGGGCAGCTGGCTACTGGAACCCCTGGGCAGCTGCCTGCTGGAACTCCTGGGCAGCTTCCAGACATGGCACAAATTCCAAAGCTCGACAGCACGCTTGATTCTTCCCAGCCAAAGCTCCTGCGTGAGTTATCAGAATGTCGCGCGACCATCAGCAACTTGCAAACTCAACTCCAACAATGCCGGGAAGAACGCGAAAGGTTGCTGAAGACAATAAGCGAGCTTGAAGAGTCTAAGAAGCACATGGGCGAGATGCCGCCTGACCAGGAAGCGTACATCAAGGTGAAACTGCAACTGGATGAATGCTTGAAGAGCAACGACGTGTTGAAGAACACCATCGAGGACTTGAAGAAGCAACAAAGCGACTACTTGGGCATAAAATCCCAACTGGAAGACTGTCTAAAGGAGAAGGCCGCCCTTCAAAGGGCTGTGGAAGAGCTGAAGAAACTCCAGGAAAATCGGGCGCTTGCCCAAGACACTTCAAATTTAGCTGATATAGAAAGCAGTGGCAAAGAGATAGCTGGTCTCAAAGCCGACTTGGACGATACTCTAAAGGAGAAGAATCGATTACTCCAGCTGATAGACGAGCTGCAACGAAAACAGCCAATACCGCAAGCACCAGACTTGGGCAACTTGAAGCAGCAGCTGGACGAATGTCTGAAAGAGAAGCAGGCCCTGCTGGCCAAGCTTCAGAGCCTGCAACAGCAGGCTGAATCCAGTAAACTTGCGCTGGAAAGCATGCAAAAGGAGAAACAAAGCCTGCTGGCAGCCGTCGATAATCTCAACAAGGAAAAGGAGGATTTGGACAAGATGCTAACCAGCAACGTTGTCACCACATCCAGACGAAGCTCCAAGCTGGAAAACCAGCTGGACTCTTTGCAAAGCCAGAACAAGCAACTGTCATCCGACAATGATCAGCTGAGAAAAGCCAACAAGGACCTGCAGGCGCAACTGGCCGCATTGCAGTCACTCAGCGCTGAACTGGAGCAGCTGAAGAACAGCAACTTGAAGCTGCGGCAGGAAAACGACTCCCTGAAGCGAGCCTCTATCGACCCCGCCGCCCTGGAAGCTCTAAGAAAGGAGAACGACGGCTTGAAGCAACAGCTGGACACCCAGCGGCAGCAAACCAGCTCCCTGCTGGAGAAAATGAAGCATCCGACTGCAGTGGAACCTGCGGCAAGGCCCGCAATGGACAAAGATGCAAAAGACAAGGACGCCATGCAGACCACCATTAACGATCTGGAAAATCAGCTGCGCAGCTTAATGGACAAGGAACGGGTGGCGCCGCCAGCCCCATCCGAAGATTTCAAAGGCAAAATAAAAGAGCTAATGAAGCAGCTGGAGGAGGCTCAAAGGCGCGCCGATGCTTCCGAAGAAGCGCTTCGCAACCTCAAAGCCAGCGACCCAACGGCGATGTTGAGCGCCGAAATCCAGAAGCTCAAAAACAGAGCGGCTCAGCTGGAGAAGGAAAACACGGCGCTGGAAAAGAGCCTCGCTCAAGCCAACAGCGACCGGAACGGCTTGAAGCAGGACCTAGACAAGGCCAAGGCTGCCGAAGACAGCCTGCAGAAAGCCTTGAGCGGCTTGAAGGCCGAAAGTAGAAAGCCACCAGGCGAAAAACCAGAAGACCTGTCCAGCAAGATAGAAGAGCAAAACGCCACGCTGAAGAAAAATGCCGCAAAGTTGGAAGAAGAAATGGCAGCGTTGAAGAAGCAACTTGACCTGGCGCAGGTCGAGCGCCAGAAAGCCAGCGAACTGATCAACGAGAACGGGGACCTGAAGAAGAAGCTGGCGCAAGCTGAGGGCGAAAGTTCCAAAGCGAGGAAAGAGCTGGAAGCCGCCCGAGCCGACGCGCAAAAAGCGTCCGAAATGCTCCTGGAGCTGGAAAAAGACAACGCCAAGTGCAAGCAAACAGTCAAAGACCTGGAAATGGAAGTAGCCAGGCTGAAGAAGGAAATGGACGGCCTGCTAAACGACGCAAAGAAGGAGGCGAAAAACGCATCGGACACCCAAAACCAACTAGCCGCTTTGAAGCAACGACTTGCACAGCTCGAATCCATCAACTCCCAGCTGGGTGAAGAAAACTCCAAAGTCAAAAAGGAACTGGAACAGGCACGGGGCGGCTCCCAAGTGGTAGCCGCTCTCCAAGACGAGAACAACAAGATGCGGCAGCAAACCGCCGCGCTTCAATCCGAGATCGACAAGCTGCAAAAGCAGCTGGAAAACGCTCTTATGGACGCCAAGGCCAAGCTGGCCACCGCCACTCAGCTTCAGGACGACTTGGGCGCCTTGAAGAAGACCCTGCAGCAACTGCAAGCGGAGAACGCTGCCTTGAAGAAGAACCTGGCGGACGATCTGCAAGCCAAGTACGACCAACTGAGGCAAAAGCTGGCCGAGGTCGAGAACAGCAACAGCAAACTGAAGAAGGATCTTCAAAAGGCGCTTGACGACGCCAAGACCGCCAGCGACACCTTGGAAGGTCTGAAGCAAAATGAAGGCAAACTGAAAGCCAGAATTTCCCAACTTGAAGGGGAGAACGACAAGTTGAAGAAGGAGCTAAACGCGGCGCTGGACAACTTGAAGAAAATGGGGACGGAAGTCTCCGGGATCCAAGGCGACGAGTCCAAGTCCAAGCAGCAGGCAGTTTTGCTGGAAAGTGAAAACGGCAAGCTCAAAAAGGACCTGCAAGGCGCCTTGGACAGTGCCAGAAAAGCCGCAGGCGAAGCCTCCCAGCTGAAGGACGAGAACGCGAAGCTGAAGCAACGCCTGGCTCAGCTGGAAGCTGAAAACACCACGCTCAAGTCCCAGTTGGACGCCGCAATGGGCGACCTCAAGCAAACGCAGGACGAAAATGGGAAAATCAAGCAAAAAATCCGGCAGCTGGAGGAGGACAATGGCAAGTTGAAGCAAAAAGCTGACGCTCAACCCGCAGAGCAGCGAAAGCTGCTGGAGGACCAACTCAACAAGCTCCAAAAGGAACTGGAAGCAGCCAGAAAAAACACTCAGGATAAGGACAAAGAATCAACCAACTTGAAACAGGAAAACAGCGCATTGCAGCAGCAAATCGATCAGCTGCAAGCAGCCAACGCCAAGCTGAAAAAAGAGCTGGACGCTGCAATGAAAGCCAGCAAAGGCGCCGAAGCTGAGCTGGTGCAACTCAGAAGCAACGAAGCTCGCTTGAAAGACCAACTAGCCCAACAAGCGGGCAGCAACAGCATGCTGGAAAAGGACAAAGCAGCTCTGGCGGATGAGATGAAGAAGGCTGCAACCGATCTAGCCAAACTGTCCGAACTGAAGGACAGCGAGAATAGGCTGAAGCAGCGCCTGGCACAGCTGGAAGCGGAAAATGCCAAGTTAAAGAAGAACTTGGACTCTGCCTTGGCTGATGCCAAGCAGCTAAGCGATGAGGTCGCTGCGGTCAAATCCTTGAAGGAGCAGCTGGCCAAAAGCGAAGCTGACAACAAAAAACTGAAAACCGACCTCAATGCAGCTGTGCAGGAAACGAAGAAAGGGGCTGTGGGAGTCAGCGACCTGAAAGAAATCGACGACAAGCTGAAGCAGAGAATCGCGCAATTGGAGGCGGAAAATGCCCGGCTCAAGTCTGATTTGGACAAGGCCTTTGACAGTGCAAAGAAGGCAGCCAACGACTTTACCAAACTCCAGGATGGCGACAACAAGCTGAAGCAGAAACTCGCCCAGTTGGAGCTGGACAACGCGAAACTGAAAAAAGACCTGGAAAGAGCGGCCGGCGAAGCCCAAGCCCAACAGCCAGAACTGGCCAGCGAATACGCGAAGCAGAAGCAGCGCCTTTTGCAGCTGGAAGCTGAAAACGCCGGTGTGAAGAAGCAGCTGGAAGCGGCATTGAATGACGCGAAAAAGCACACAAACGAAATGTCCCGACTGCAAGACGAGATCAACAAGCTGAAGCTGCAAGTTGCCCAGTTGGAGAAAGCCAATGACGGGCTCAGGAAAGACCTGGACGCAGCTGGAAAAGCCAAAGTGGACGAAGCGGAAAATGCGAAAAAACTGCGCGAAGGCAACGACCAGCAAAAGCAAAAAATATCGCAGCTGGAAGATGAAATCAGCAAACTGAAGAAGCAGCTTCAGCTGCCACCGGCTCCTCAACCAGAGGACTTGAAGGCAAAAGTAGCCAAGGCAGAGAGCGACAATGCGAAGCTGAAAAGCGACCTGGAGAAGGCGCTCAAAGAATCCCAACAGGCAAAATCCTTGCAGGAGGAAAATAGCAAATTGAAGCAGCAAACCGGGAGACTGCAAGCTGACCTGGACAAGCTGCAGAAGGATCTGGATACCGCTGTAAGCGAAGCCAGGAAAAGCGCCAGCGAAGTGGCCAAGCTGCGCGAAAGCGAGGCCAAGCTGAAGCAGAAAGTCGCCCAGCTGGAAATGGACAATGTGAAGCTGAAAAAGAGCTTGGACGAAGCGAAAGCGTCAGCAGCCGAAGCTGTGGCGCTTCGCGCTGAAAACCAGAAACTCAAGGCCCAAATCAAGGAGCTGCAAGATGAAATCAATCGGCTCAAAGCGGCGAAAGACACTGTGGTGCGTCAGCCGGAAGAAGACACCCAAGGCCTGAAGGACGAAATAGCGAAACTGAAGCAGAAAGTGGCCAATCTGCAAAGCGACAACACCAGAACAAAGCAACAGCTGGACGAAGCCAAGAACGACAAGCTCGATGCTTTGAAGACTCAAATGGAGACGCTGCAAAGTTTGAAGCAGGAAAACGAGAAACTTAGAAAACGAGTGGCGGAATTGGAAAGCGAGCTGGCGAAGGCCCAGAAGGAAAATGCAGGCATGAAAACCGAAAACGACAAACTGAAAGGCGACTTCAAAACCAACAAAGACGCGCTGAACAACGCTCTTCAGAAGCTGGAAGCTGCAGCTGGTAAGTGAGTTTTTTGCGTTGGTTTTAGTGATTGTTGGTCGAACTTCCATTAGATCATGATGCGGTGAACGATCTGGAGAACCTCCGCAGCAAAGCCAAGGCCTTGGAGGCGGAGCTGGAAAAACAGAAGAAAGAGTGTCAAGACACGATTGCATCAATGAAGACGCAATTCGACCGCGATATGAAAAACCTGCTAAAGAAGCACGAAGACAGCATCGATCAGCTGCAAAAAGCCCACGCGGACTACGTGAAAGGCGTAGCCGCCAAGCACGAAAACGAAGTAAACGACCTGAGAAACGCAATCGAGCAGCTGCGCCAGGAGCTGGACGAAAAAGCCAAAGAAAATGCGCGCCTGAGAAAGTTGCTAGAAGACCAGAAGCGGAAGAGCATCGAAATCAAAGACAAAGTCGGCGAAGTTGAGAAAGTGATTTCGAAGGAGCGGAGACGCAGCAAAGAGCTGGAAAAAAAGCACAGTGAGCTGCACTCGGTGGCTTCAGTGCTTGAACAGGAAGTCCTGAAGGAGAGGAAGCGATCGTTGCAGCTGCAGAAGGAAAAAGACGACCTGGCTGACAAGCTGCGGGCGTCTTTGTCCAAAAGCAAACAGGAGGAAGCAGGGCCGTATGAAGAAAAGGGGGCACATTTGGGGGAATCGCGGCCTGAAGTGAGCAGGGACGACGGCCCCAAGCCGAAGAAGGAAAGAAAGGAGAGAAAGGAAAGCGCAGTTCTGCAAAAGCAGGTGGAAGAGGAAAGGAGGAAGAGCGAAATCCTGGAACTGACTGTTAAATCCCTAGAGGAACAGTTGAAGGAAAAACCGGCCAGTTTAGGGGTGAGAAGCGTGCAACTTCATTCATAGGGGATCCCTAAAACTCTTTTCTTGTTTAGGAAACTGTCGATCGCCCGAGCCAGACTAAGGTAGCAAAATTTTCCCTGTCAGGAAACTCCTGACCAGGAGCCATAACTCAATTGTTTCAGCCAAGAAAACTCAAGGACGAAAAACTGACAATGACGACTTTCGAAACAGTATCACTTCCCCCAGTGTTTCTCGCAATGTCCAGCCCATTGTCCGATAACGAGCTGGCTTTCTACGGCAAAAAGCGCTGTCCATGTGCGGAAAACATCGACGATTTGCTGAAGAAAGCTGGGTCCAAAGGATTTGGAGTACGTCCGCCAGTGGCTCTCTAACAGTGTTCATCAATCTTCCTGTGCAGGCCTTAACAATTGAAGAGTTGCAACTCGTGCACAAGCATCTGAGTGAGGCGGCAGCCAATGTTCTGGAACGTTTGGGCCAAAAAGTGGGAGTGTTGCGACCCAATGAAGGGCGCGATCGGTTGTCGTTGCTGCGAAGAATCGCCGAACTCGAAGGGGATCTGCTGAAGAAGCAGAAGCAAACCCAACAAAAAAGTGCCGAACCCACTAAATTTAGTAAATGCGGGTTGAAAATGTTGCTTGTTTCAGTTGCCCAGATGCAGAACGCGATCAGGCTGGAGAAGGAGCGCCTGACTGAGCTGAGGAGGAACCTGGAAAGGGAGAAAAGGAGTCGGAATCCATCGCCAGATCCTCCTAGAAGGCGCATAATCAGGGATGCGGTGGCTTTGGAGGTGAGCCTTTGGACGGCCAGAGTCGGTTGGCAGCTTTGAATGTTCCAGGAAATGAAGCAGCAGCTGGAGAAGAGACTGGATGAAGAGCTGTTGGCCAAAATGAAGCTGAAAAGCCGCCTGGCCAAGCCGAGAAGAGCAGAAGACCAGCCGGTTAGGGACGGCCAGTGCACTCCACGAACCCACTTTTCACATGCCGCTCACTCAACTGGAAGGCTGTAGATTGTACGTATTTAAAAAGCAAATGGAATAGTTAAAAAGGGGCGGTTTTCATTGCGTTTTAGGTCCATATTTGGCTGGAAATCACATTGTGCTGTCCTTGTAGTGTCAAGATGCGTTTGCATAGTTATTTTAATGTAATGGGAATAAAATGCGTTTTTCCATTGAAAATAGTTTTTTCAAATTAACGGTAACATTTTTAAGATATTTATAACTCGCAAATTTTGCACACAATAGAAATTCTATTTGAATCGAAACGCCGCAGATGTTAGTGGGTGAGATATAGCTGGCGTTGCGGTTGGAGCTGCTACTTGAGAAGTGGCGAATAGAGTTCGCCACAGTAGTTTTCGATACAAGGGCGAAAAGTGTCGTTTTGTTTTTGACACCAGAGACAAAGTCGAGTTTAGGAGTTCCAAAAACGGATTTTCGCTCTCGTATCGAACAAAATTGTTTATTCGAATAAAGGACATAACACGAACAATAAGTTATAATTAATGAAAATAACCAAAAATAAAAGCCGTCAACTTCATATTTAACATTTGATGTCAATGCCATTTTTGAAATTGTCATGTTTTGACTTTCGTAATTTTCAAAAGCGTACTTTTGTAAGCATATACAAGTGAAACAATGAGTGTTGAAAATCCAAGTGCTGCTTTCACGGTATGGTCTTTGTATAACATGCATATTTTGCATAAAGTTTGCGATCTTTACAAAAAATCGTGTTTTGCTTGTGGCAACATCGGCGAGTGCTAAAAATAGACCATTTGAACGACTTTGAGACTGAACTTGTAACAAAGTTAAAATTTACAAATTGTGAGTAAATTTTTAATTATGATCAATAGTTCTCTATAAAGCTGCGTAATTCATTAAAAAAGCCTGTCAGTTACATTTTAATGAAAATACTTCAAAATATTATGAGAGTGGCACGTCCAATTTGTCAGATTTACTTTTGCGCACATGTGCGTAAAGGGCCGTGCGTAAAAGTAAAACAAATGAACAGTAAAGAAAAGTGCTTCTTTTTTATCATCGCTTTTGATCGAAAAATGGCACTTTTAGATTCATTCGAATAAAAAAGAGATTCTTTATGATCATCGCTTCTAATCTAAAAATGCGACTTTTAGTTTAATTCGAATAAAAATACCCTTGCTGGAAAGAGATGGCGATTTCATCTCTTTCCAACCGTCACAGGCAGTTAGTCATCAAGGCAGTTAGCTTCGGTTGAAACCGTCAGTTGTCATTTTTTTGGGGGAAAGTCAAGTTGAATTTGAAATCCTGACAACTCTGTCAGTGAGACTCGAAAATATGAGTCTTGAACATAAAGAAGTCCAGAGCGATTTAAACTTTGGCGACACATTCAAACAGGAAGTTTTCCATTGCATTGCGTACATTACGCATAAATGTAAGTAAATAAAGCGCAGAAACCAACCAGTTTGCAGCAAAAGACTTCCCAATCACTCGCAGGTCCACTGATGCAGAAATTGTTCTGCCAATGGGCCTTGCTGACCTCTCGCCAGCAGATTTTGCTAAACTATATCGCGTTTTATGCTCTGGATCAAAAGGAAATGGTTGTTTTTGCCGGCATTATCAAAGGTCTGCAGTTTTGGGACGCCTTGCAAGACACGGAGGGTAAGTAAACAAGCGCATGTTGCCATTTATTTATTCGGCGGGGTTTTACACAAAAGACGCTTTGTGAGAGATTTTTGAATTTGAGTACAAATACAAAATACAAAAATCAAATTTTAACATTTGCTGGCAAAAATTGCTTCAAATCGATTCGTTGATATAACGATGGACCGAACAGTTGCGTGTAACACCGAACAGTTGCGAATAAGTGACACCACTTTTAAGAATTTTTTTTATTGTTAAAAATTTTTATTTTTTATTTGGACTGTATTTCTGCCCATTTTAATTACGCGTTCATTATTAATATTTTCTCGAAATTTGTCCAGGATGCGTATCTGAAAATCTGATCTCTAAAGCGTATTTTTTGTCGTTTTTTTCGATCATTCTATAGCTTTGGTTTAGCCCAGACCGTTTCTAGTCAGTTAAACATTTTTGGATTGGTTTTAATTTGAAACTGGTGAGTTTTTGGAGGTTTTGGGACGACGTTGTCAACAAGAAAGTTGAAAAAAGAATTGAAAAAAAACCTTTCAAATCATTTGAATACTTCTTGGAAATTTGACGATTTTTTTCAATGTTTTTAAATGTTTTGTAAAAGAGAAAAAACTGCATGCTCCCATCTGTAAAGCCTTCCATTCCTCTAAATTTTCCCAAATATGAAATAGAAACCAATAACCCGCTATGAAAAATACACACGTTGAGCTCCATATGAAAGCAAATTGCAAATTTTACAGGAGCGTGCGGTTACCATCAAAACCCTTTAGAGTTCAGCTTCAACAGGGAGCAAGAAAAGCAGATATTTAACGTTATATTGGACATCAGTAAAATGATAAGTACGATAAGCGCAAAAATGAAAGTCTGTAGCCAGCTGCTGGAATTCAAGGCTTGTAGTCGCCAGCAAAAATTCGATTTTGAACCAATTTCCCCGGATAGGGGTGATAACTAGCAAATAATTTTTACCGCACTGAATATTAACTTAGAGGAAATTTATTAGCCATGTTGCAAATAAATAGGTACTAAGAGTTGCATTGAATAGATGATGAGATAAAGGACAATCTAACAAAAACTATCTTAAAGTTGAATAAAAGTGAAAAACAATTTGTTGGTTATAAATATAATCTATAAAATAAACCGTTTTCCCACGGGTTTAACATTAGGAAACTTCCGGGAACGGATGGGTTCGGGTTCATCGTCTGAGAAATTTTCGTTCAGAGAGATTTTGGAAATATCCCCAGGGCCCACACGTTCCAGCTGGTGATAACTGATGACGGTAACTTGAGGCCTTAATGGTTTTACCTGCAATAGAGGAAAACAGGTTGAAAGAAGTTTCCTGAAATGGTCTTCCTCCCGAAATGACTGCGGAGTTTTTAAGCTTGAATCTACAAAACCGCCAAACGATCAAAATGGAGAATCTTTATTCGTTTTGAACCAAATTGAAATTGCTTTTCAGCTTCAAGTCTTCACTTCGACCTACCTTTTTAAACTTCTTAAAATTCCGTTCCCCGACAGAATTTTGCGTTTTATTAATCGGTGGCGTCGGTCTTTCATGGACTGAGAATGTCGTCACTTGGATGCAATCCCTAAGAGCTTTGGAAATTTCGAGCAACTCCGGATCATCATCCGTGTTGGCTTTGACCGAATGAACGCTTGGTAAGCTCTTAGAAATCCATCTAAAGTTGACCGAAAGTTGCTTAATGGAAATGGCCGAATGCACAGATATGTTTCTAGTCGATTCGAGCCGTGATTCTGGTGGAGGTGAATTTTCAATCTCAATTTCTTCCATTTTAACCGTTGGAGTGGGACGATTTGTGCTCATAATACTGGCAAAGGGATTGCTCGATTTCCGTGCAGTTTCTGGTCTGGTTGGTTTGCTGATGGGTTTGAAAAGGGCGAACGGGTTGGCCGATCCAGTTTTGCTCTTTTTAGACGCCGGCGTCGACATGTTAGTAAATGGGTTGATTTTCAAACACTTCTCAGCGTCGTCTGAAGCTTTCCGCTTTTGGCTCTGGAAATGTTGTCAATAATCAGCTGCAATGAAGTTGCAAGGAATAGTTACCTGCAAAGTGCTATTTGCCATTATTCTGCTAGCTTCTGATGTGTTTTCCTGTCGTTTTGGAAGATTGATGGATTGGTCCAAAGATATCCACTTCGTTGGTTTGCTAGAATATCAAACAAAACACACAGTAAAAAACATAATTCGCGGCTCTAGCGCTGTTTACCTGGTGTTATTGTCCAGCTTCGGTTTTTTGCATAGTGGGCTCTCTATTTCCTTTCCGTTAAGCCTTTTGAGCGGTTTTGGCTGAGCATCCACTTTCCTAACCCAATGATCTGGTGGAAGGCTTTCAGGTATGGCTTTCTCCGTTTCAACAGCCAAACTCTTGGAAAATGCCGGTTGTGTTTGAGTTTCCCCAACTAGCACGTTTCCCAGTTGCGTTTTGTCATCGGGAACAGCAAACACCTGGGCTGCTTTATTGAAGCTGGGGTTGCAATTTACGTCGCAAGAGCACGACACAATGGCTAGAGCGATTTCGTTGACGGGGATCATTCGCTTCTTCTGCTTAGCCATGCTTTTTACTAAAACCTGGAACGACTCATCGCCGTCTTCATCATTATCAGATTTAATCAACAAATGTTCCAACGGACTCGTGCTAATGTCTGAAACAGTTTTTGGCTCTTCGTCCCACGAGAAGCAACTTCCACCTGAAAAACCGCATTTAAACTAGTTTGGCTAGAATATACATTACCAAACTTGCCACAGCTTTTAATAACGTCCTCAAGCTGCTTCTTAGTGCTCGCCTTTAAAAAGACAAACATTTTGTTCTCAAACAAACTTTTCCGCCTTTCGTCGTATGTACACTCAAAGTCGGAACTAAACAGATGCTCAGCCACGGGCGGCTTTCGATATTTAGACAAATCGGGCGCCGGTCTGCTGTTTTTAATTGCCTTTGCGTAATCAGCCCAATAATCAAGAGTCACTATCGGTTTTCCTTGCACCAACGCATGCAGAACCTTGACAGTAAGCGTGAGCTTTTCCACTACTAAATGGGTGCAGACCGAGGACCATTTGTCCATGTACTTGCTGTTGCAGACTTTCAGATGTTGCTTTAGAATTGTTTTCGTATCCGTGCTTAGCCCGCTTGCTGATACAATAAACGTGGGGCACTCGAAACTAGAGATTAAGGTGATATTATAGTTATATCCCTCATGTGGCCTCACATAGCCCTCATGTGTGAGTTTTTTTGGCCTACCGGAATTTGCTTTGGAGAATCCCAAAGTGGATTAAATCCATATGTTTCAAATTGACTGGCACAAACGGTTCCAACTTGGAGCCGTTGTATAGAGTCTGGTACCTTGATTTGCTGTCTTCCAGGGTCACCGATCCATCCTAAAAAATACCCTAAGTTGTCTTCGATTCACAGTGTAACGAAATTGTTCGAAGTTTAAAGATTAAATTTGGTGGTGGTGCTGGAATTACCTTCACTCGAAGTCTTGCGTGCTCCCTGCTAATGGACTGGTCATTCAGAATCAAAATATCGCAGTTTTTCCTTCCCAACACGTAATCTTTTTCTTCTGGCAACGTTATGGAGTCTCCTGGAACATGTGAGGGGCGGTGGAATTTCCCCGATATTTGTTTACGTTATTCACTTACCACCTTCAAGGTGTTCAAGCAGAAAGATCATTTTTTTACGGTTTAACTCGGTTTAAACACAGTTTAGTGAAAAACTATAATTTCATTTGTTTATCAATACGACAATCATTGGCAATACTAGGTTATGTTTTGACTTGATTGATTTTGAATTAACAATCTTCTCTTTAGCAAAAAATATTAATAATTATCTTTCAAATCTTTGTGTGGGCAAAAGCCAAAATATAAATAGTTTTAATAGAATGTCTTTCAATACGACTAACTAATAAGCTTTGGAGACAAACACATTAATAAAAATTAATTAATTAATCCAGTCACGACCTATGTAGAGGTTTTCAAAATTTTCTTCCTCTCTATAGATCGGACCTAAAAATAACCCAACATTTTCAATTCACAGATCACAGAGTAACGTCTGTGATCTGTGATCTGTGTTTAATTGTTTACTGACATTGTGAAATACAAGTGTTACGTGAGTGAAAATGCCCCAAGGAGTCCCTCCTGGGGGACCCAAGAAAAAGCCATGGAGGAAAATCTTGTATGAAAAGCAGGCCTACCCAGACAATTACACTGACCACAACATTTTCCTCAAAGACCTCAAAAAGAACATCGATTTCCATGAAGTGAGTTTCCTTGAGGCCTGTTTGGGCGCCAATTTGGTGCTGCAGGAATTTTGCACGGTTGTCTTCTTCGCTGTGGTTTACATGTACATGGTAAGCCGATGGATAGAGTCCTGGGTGTTGCTCTATGGTATGACTTTCACTGGGTTTGTGTGCTTCGTGTTCTACAGATGTATTCGCTTGGTTAAGACCCCACAAGACTTCACGATAGATCGCAAAAAACACAGTCTTGGGCATGATGTAAGAACAGTGTTGACTTTTATCGCTTTCGGTCAGCTATTTTCGCCAGTGCTACACACTCTAACAGACACCATAAGCACGGACACTATCCATACTATGGCCTTTCTGATGTTTATAGTGCATTTAGTGTTTTTTGATTACGGAGTACCTGCAGCCATAGTGTCTAAGAGTGTCTCCTTGAGTGCGGCAATATTTGCCTCAATTTGCCTGGCCTCAAGGCTGGCTTCAGCTTCGGAAGCCTTTGTTTTGCTGGCACTGGCCACTCAACTGTTCGCACTCTCTCCCATTCTGCGAAACCTTTTCAACCATCACCCCATCATAACTGCCATTCTGTTTTTGATAGATTTGCATTTTTTACTACTCATATCTAGTGTAGGTGCAGTACTTTTTCTATCAGCGGTTTTTCTGATAAACCTCATCTGTCCAGTCTTGTTTGTAAAATACCAAAAGCACAAAGACAATATTTATGGGCCCTGGGATGAGGCCGTGGTGAAAGACGTGGATAATATAAGGTTCTAAATGACAACACAGTATATCACATTTATAGTGTATTTCTTAAATAAATGCAGAATATCGCTGTTTATGTACAAACATAAAAATGAACATTAAATAACCTAAATAGTAAAAAAAACTGTACAGAAAACCTTAAAAACTATTGAGATTTATGAAAAATAATTATACACACCTTAATCTAAAAGTTAAAAGAAATATCTAAAAAGCAAAGCTAAATGGTGTTTTGCGCAAAACAGTGATCGAGACGTTGGCATTATTGCACTAAAATCCTCAATTAAATGTCAAAACATGTAATTGAATTTCGCCAGGCTTGGAAGACCTCTATGAAACCCAAGTAGCTAAAAAATGTAAAACAACGCATCCCGCAAAAGGATGGAATTCATGTTGGATGTGTTTGTTATTCGCCTTAGCTGAAACGGTGGCTTGGACTAGGTTTATAGTCTTTTAAAGCTTAAAGAACAACTATCCACCAACCAGTTTGCATAAAACTATGATAACAATCAAGAGTTCAGCAATTTCCTCGTATGGATTTAGTGTATTGTGTTACAATCGTTATCCAACTAGACTGAGTAAATTCAGAACTGGACACAACCATGCAAACATCCACTATAGGCGGTAATTGAGCCCAAAAGACCTGAATATCTTATAAATAATACTGAGCAATCTCGAGAAGCCTAGTCCAATCCGTTTTAAACAGGATTTTCCTAACACATCTATCACTTTTCCAGGCCGCAATTATCCACGTTCTGTCCAGCTCCGATTATAAATAAATATATTATGCAAATTTCTGATAAATCTAAACTTTAACCTTTTTACAACGCACTCATACCGCCGGTACAGACTGAATAAGGTTTAGTAAATGGCCTTATCACGTTTCCTCAACTATTTAATTGCTTATCATGTAAAGTCAGTATTAAGTTTAAGTCCCTCCCTAGTAGCCAGCACCTTTTTCGCCAGTCGTATCTAAGCCTAAATCGTCCACCGTATGTGGGGTTTTAAAATTATTGCCCGGAAAAAGATGCAGGTTATCCGTGTTTCTCATTATACAGTTTTATTTAATTAGCCAGGTGCGCGTTTCGTTCTTACCCTTAATGTAACTGTTTCTAAGGTCTGATAATCCTACCTAGCATGTAAACCTATCGAAATCACTAAACCAAGTCTTACAAGTTGCTTAAAATATATTAATATTATTATTATACCACAGCGTTCAAGGTTTTGTTTGTTGGTGGGCTTTATCGACATGCTACCTATTTACAACCTACATGCTACATGGTTTCGAACTACTTTACTTAAACCAGATCTGATTCGCATCTATTTCTGAGAAACTGGATACTTTAATGGAACTGAATTGAAATTGAATAGGAGTTTTTTTTTAATTGAGCGCTTTACTAACCCAGTAAGCGGCTAATAAATGTTTCTTTTATTTAACTGTAAATATTAATAGAAATTACTGGTTGGAATTGGGAGTCTGATAAAATTATGTTTTGATGTTCCACTAGGGTGGTTCGATTGGCGATGTTCACAGAAAATGGCTAATTCAGTCGCATTAGTGGAACGATCAAGCTTTTGACTTAAAAACAGTTGAAATGTAAATTATAAAAATCTTCCGAATAGAATGCTTAGAAAGCACATATTCAGATAATAATGTAGAATGAAAAAACGTGTTATAAAATATGAGTATACATATTTGATTCAGCCACCGCTAGGGCCTATACGAAAAAATAGACTATATTGGAAATATGTAACAATAAATCTAGAAAGACTGCTGAACAACAAACAAAACCTGCTAATTTCTAACCTACCTGATAAAGCAAGTCCGACATAGTTTGTTGGGCCCTATGCAGTCGTCGTGGCAGAAGGCGCCGCATTTTTTACACACGACCATCGCCTTCAGGCTGCAGGCGCACGAATCGTTCTTCGGCTGCTGCATCACCATCTGGCTTTGCATCACCGTCGCCGGATGATCGGCGATCACATTCTCACCAATGATGGTGTAATTGTTCATGTGACTCTCTATACTTACATCGCCGTACACTACGCCTGGCGGCAACCGCTGCCGCCTCGTTACCGCCTGCGTCCCGGGATTCGGACACTGGACGACAAAGTCGTTCGGTTGATTTTGCTGAATGGTTGGATGATCGGCTTCAACACTAGCAGGCCGTCCTCTGCCAGTGATCAGCTGCGACATTCCCACAGTGTTTATCGCATTGCCTATGGTGGGCTGTTGAGCGGGCGGCGCTGAAGAGGAGCGCGGCACGTTGTGTTGATCGACTACACCAGTGCGCTGCACCAGTATGTACTGCCCGACTGCTCCCACTTGGTTTTGACCATCAACAATCTGAAAATAACATGGATTTTTCATAAATGCCAGTGGATCAACCGTGAGGGATGATTAAAGACAAAGGAAGAGCAACTGAAGAAGTTTGGAATGTTACATAGGAAGAACAGGAGAAACGGCGCTTAGAACATCAAAGGATCAAAAGCAAGAAACTAATCGCGGTTGAGATCAAGAGAGCTGAAAAGAGCTGAAGCTTATAGTAAGTTTACACATGCATGGATTTAGTGGCGCCAGTGATGTTGATTTGATGGTGTTCCATCTATCCATTAATTGTGAATGGTTTTCATATGCCAGTTTTTGTTGATCCCTATTATATACCATACCATCAGCAGGGATAAGATTC